TAAGAGGATTAAAAAAAAAGACCACAACATATACCTGAGTACAATGACTCCAAAATATTCAACATTGATTTTCAAAATGTTTTTAAAGATCTAGTCTAGAAACATCACTGTATTTTGGCCTGGCGCAGTGGCTCACGCCTGTAATCCCAACACTTTGGGACGCCAAGGTGGGGAGATCACTAGGTCAAGAGTTCGAGACCAGCCTGGCCAATATGGTGAAACCCCATCTCCACTAAAATCACAAAAATTAGCCAGGTATAGTGGTGGACACCTGTAATCCCAGCTACTCAGGAGGCTGAGGCTGGAGAATTGCTTGAACCCGGGAGGCGGAGGATGCAGTGAGCCGAGATAGCGCCACTGCACTCCAGCTTGGGCAACAGAGCGAGACTCAACTCAAAAAAAAAACACAAACACACACACACAAAACCACACTGTATTTTAAAGAAAATAAATCATTTAGGAAGGTAGGCAAAAAGAGTGGTCAGTTTAATAAGGTAAAAAAAAACATCAGATGTTAACAGCTGGCCAGGCATGGTGACACCTCTGTAATCCCTGTACTTTAAAAGGCCAACAAAGTGGGCAGATCACTTCAGCTGGGGAGTTCAAGCTCAGGAGAACAGCCTAAAAGCATGGTGAAACCCCATCTCTACAGAAAACACAAAAATTAGCCAGGCATGGTGGCATGTGCCTGTAGTCCCAGCTACTCGGAAGGCTGAGGTGGGACACAGTTTACAGTGAACCAAGATTCTGCACTCCAACCAGGACGAAAGAGCAAGACACTGTCTCAAAAATAAATAGATTTTAACAGTTTTATTGGGGGAAACAACAGAATTAACAAACTTAAGATACTCAAGGATAGAAAATGTGAACCAAAGATTTTATTTCCAGCCAAAGTGACCTTCAAGATTAAAGGGCACAGGCCAGCCACGATGGCTCACGCCTGTTATTCCAGCTCTTAGGGAGGCAGAGGTGGGAGGACAGCTTGAGCTCAGGAGTTTGAGACCTGCCTGGGCAATAGAGCGAGACCCTGTGCTCCACAAAAAAGAAAAAAAAAAGAAAGAAAAAGAAAAAAAAATGAATAAAAGGCACAGACAACATACAAGACATATACATAAGAACTCCCGGCCAGGAGCGGTGGCTCGTGCCTGTAATCCCAGCACTTTGGGAGGCCGAGACGGGCAGATCACTTCAAGTCAGAAGATCGAGGCCAACCTGGCCAACATGATGAAACCCCCATCTCTACTAAAAATACAAACGTTAGGCCAGGTGCAGTGGTTCACGCCTGTAATCCCAGCACTTTGGGAGGCCAAGGCAGGCACATCACCTGAGGTCAGTAGTTCGAGACCAGCCCAGCCAACATGGCGAAACCCCGTCTCAACTGAAAATACAAAAAAATTAGCTGTGCGTGGTGGCATGCAACTGTAATCCCAGCTACTCAGGAGGCTGTGGCAGAAAAATCGCTTGAACCCAGGAGGTGGAGGTTGCAGTGAGTTGAGATCGCGCCACTGCACTCCAGTCTGGGAAACAGAGCAAGCCTCTGTCTCAAAAAAAAAAAAAAAAAAAAAAATAGAGCTCCAGAAATATTGTTTCAATTAGCCTCTTTTCAATAATCTATTAGAGAATAAGCTTCATTCAGACAACCAAACTGACTAGAGACACAGACAATACAATGACATAAGGACTGATTGTATGCATGAGATATATACCTATTGTAAAACTAAGATTGACAGTTAAAAGAGAAAGTCAGCCGGGGGCAGTGGCTATGCCCATAATCCCAGCACCTGGGGGCGGGGATCACTTGACGCCAGGAGTTCCAGAATAGCCTGGTCAACATGGCAAAACCCCGTCTCTACTAAAAACACAAAAATTAGCCAGGCAATGGTGGCATGTGCCAGTAACCCCAGCTACTCGGGAGGCTGAGGCACAAGAATCGCTTGAACCCAGGAGGCAGAGGTTGCAGTGAGCTGTAATCGCACCACTGTACTCCAGCCTGGGCAATACAGTGAGACACTGTCTCAAAAAAAACAAAAGGGAAAGTTATATAACAGCAATATGCTCAGACAATGTAAACAGAAAAACTTTTAAATGAGGGATAGAAATAGAGAATATGTAAAAAAAAAAAAAAAAAAAAAAATTTAACATTCCTAGTAATTATATTCGTGGCAGTAATATTTGTATTATTATTTTAGACTTTCTGATGTGTAATGTTGGTTACAGTCAGTAATTACAAGACATCATGATTCTATCAACCCCTGCCTGCGTTCTTGAGAGAACAAGGATTTTTGGTATGTAAAAAGTTAATTAAAAACTCTGGGCTGGGCGAAGTGGTTCACACCTGTAATCCTAGCACTTTGGGAGGTCAAGGTGGACGGTCATGAGGTCAGGAGATCGAGATCATCCTGGCTAACACAGTGAAACCCCATCTCTACTAAAAATACAAAAAAAATTAGCCAAGCGTGGTGGCGCATGCCTGTAATCCCAGCTACTCAGGAGGCTGAGGCAGGAAAATCGCTTGAACCCAGGAGGCGGAGGTTGCAGTGAGCCAAGATTGTGCCACTGCACTCTAGCCTGCGTGACAGAGCGAGACTCCGTCACAAAAAAAAAAAAAAAAAAGGCCCTACGCACTCCCATGTTTACCACAGCACTATTCACAACAGCCAAAACATGAAACCAGTTCAGTGCAATGGCTCATGCCTTGTAATCTTAGCACTTTGGGAGGATTGCTTGAGGCCAGGAGTTGGAGATCAGCCTAGGCAACATAGCAAGACTTTGTCTCTACAAAAAAATTACAAATTAGCCAGGCATGGTGGCATGTACCCTATCTGTAAGTCCTAGCTATTCAGGAAGCTGGTGCAAGAGGATCCCTTGAGCCTGAGTGTTTGAGGTTGCAGTGAGCTATGACTGAGTTGCTGCACTAAAGCCTGGGCGACAGCAAAACTTTGCCTCAAAAATACATTTTTTTAAAAAAACGAACCAACCTGAGTTCCCATCAACAGGTAAGAAAATATGGTATATTATTCAGCAATAAAAAAGAATTAGATCCTGTCATTTGCAGCATCATGGATACAACTGTAGGCCACTATGTTAACTGAAGTTAAGTCAAGCACAGAAAGACAAACATCACATTTTCACTTATGAGGGAGCTAAAACAGTGGATCTCAGGAAGGTAAGAGTCTAAAGACCGGTGATTACTAGAGAGTGAGCAAGGAATAGGAGAGATAAAAGGAGGAAAAAAGAATATACATGTATTTACTACCACCGAACTGTACACTTAAAATGGTAAAGATGGGGCTGGGCATGGTGGCTCACACCTGTAATACCAACACTTTGGGAGGCCGAGGGGGTGGATCACGAGGTCAAGAGATCGAGACCATCCTGGCCAACATGGTGAAACCCTGTCTCTACTAAGAACACAAAAATTAGCTGGGCATGCCTGTAGTCCCAGCTACTCGGGAGGTTGAGGCAGGAGAATTGCTTGAACTCGGGAGGCGGGGGTTGAAGTGAGCTGAGATCGTGCCACTACACTCTAGTGTGGCGACAGAGTAAGACTCCATCTCAAAAAAAAAAAAAAGAAAACAAAAATGGTAAAGATGGTGAATTCTATAAGTGTGTGAGTGTGCATGTGTGTGTCTGAGACAGGGTCTTACTGTGTTGCCCAGACTGAAGTGCAGTGGCACAATCATGGCTCACTGCAGCCTCAACCTCCCAGGCTCAGGTGATCCTCCTACCTCCTCCTCCCAAGTAGCTGGGAGTAGCTGGGACTACAGGCGCATGCCACCACATTTGGCTAATTTTTTGTAGAGACGGTTTTCACCATGTTGCCCAGGCTGGTCTTGAACTCCTGGGCTCAAGTGACCCTGGGCCACCTGCCTTGGCCTCTCAAAGTTCTGAGACTCCAGGCATGAATCACTGCACCTGGCCAGCAAATTATATATTTTACCTAAACAATAACAACAACAAAAAAATCGTTTTTAAACGCTGTATTCCTGATTCTGAAATACAAGTCCTAGTATTTTATCTAGCTGAGTAATAATAAACATCTCTACCATCAGGATTGTAGTCTTGAAACACCATTTCCCACTAAAAGGCAGGTCTTCTTGAGAAATGTCTAATTCACATCTGGGGCAGGAAATGAGCCTGGAACATATTCTTATACCAGAGAATAAGGATACTATCAAAGACTACTAAAGTCATGTCAAAAGGACTCTGGAGCCAACTGGAAAAGGCTACCACTGGCCAAATGGGAGACAACTTGACCATCAAAAAGGATAGTAATTGCAACTCAAACCCATCAAATACATTTTAATCCATGACTGAAATGCATGAAATGTTTATATTCATGATTGAAACACACCATATGTTCCTGTTTATTCAGCGCATACTATATATTTAGCATGATGTCAGGAACTACGTTACCTTCAGAAGAGTGTTGCTCCAGAAAATGTCCCATTTTCAGGTGAAAATAATCTTTGCAACATAAAAACAATTTTTTGAAGTGGCCAGAAACAATTCATTTCGGGATTAATTATTTTAGTTATATACATATATAGTTTCCCTCTTCACATCAATTTAGTATGTCTTGGCATCTTTCCTAACTTCATACATCAGATGTTTACAGGTAATTTTAAGACTAAGAAGTAAAATTGTTCAAATTTTTCCTACAACCTCCTCCATTGTAAAAACCTACACTTACAATTCTAAAACCTCTCTAAAGCTAAAAACAAGCGTCAAAACAATTGTTTTTTGAAAAGAAAAATAAATAGCCTGGGGGGTCACTGATTTTGATCCATAAACAGTTTCACATACTACTTCTGTTAATGCTTTCTTGCTATAATGCATCAGTGAAAACAAAAACAACTATGAAATTTTTTTTTGACACAGGGTCTCACTCTGTCACTCAGGCTGCAGTACAGTGGCCCCAACTATCATGGCTCACTGCAGCCTCAACTTCCCAGGTTCCAGCAATCCTCCTACCTCAGCCTCTGGAGAAGCTGGGACTACAGGCATGTACCAACACACCCAGGTAACTTTTAAATTTTTTGTCCTGAGCTCAAGTGATCCTCCGTTTCCCAAAGTGCTGAGATACAGGTATGAGCCGCCACATCCGGTGCAAACGCTTATCTTAAGCAATCCACCCATCCTAAAACATCAGAAAAGTCTAAATTGCTGTTCTTTAAATTTTAATTATCTTGTTACTCACATACTAGACAAAGCTTAGTTTAGTCATAAATGGGTGACAGAAATTCTGCAAATATATCAAAGATATGCCATATTGATAAAAAGAAATCAAAGCTTAAAGCTAAATGCATAAACACTGGCTATTTACATAATAAATTTAAAAATATTTTCCATATTCCATTTAATATAAGAATCTAAGTACACCAATCATTTCAGTACAAAACATGCTTAGTGAGTATATAAACACCTAATATGGGGTGGGGGATTGGGAATTTTAAGTCCTCTTCTACCAGGATAAAATAACTGTCCAAAAAAAATCAGATAACTTCCCCAGGCACTTGGTGTTCCAGTAAGACAGGATATTAAAAAGCTATCTTTTAGAAGTTTTCAACTATTTACACATTTATAGGCAATGTATTTTATCAAAAAGGGAAAGCAGTGTGTACAAACCTGATAAACTGAATAAGAGGTTTTAAGTACTCATCTCCAAATAGTTTGATATAATCTTGTATATCAAAAAACAGCCAAAAGTAAAACGCTATTTGGTTTGACATTGTTGACAGGGCTAAGTCTGTGCCAACTAGCAATTCAAGAGGAATATAGTGGCAGTCTTAAGTATTTATGTTTCCGGGATTAATTTATTTTTGAAAGATGGCGTATGGTCATTTTTAGGCTTATCGGTATAAGCATAAATTAACAGTTTTACATTGTTTTAAATCAAGATGTTCCGTATGAGACTATAATTCGAAGGTAAAAATGACTTCCGCCCCAGAAGCTCCCATTTTTTAATGTAATAAATAGAAATACAAGATTGAACACATCACAGTGACGTTCTCAAAATGACTGGTATATTTTAATAGAATACTAACGAGATTCAGCTTGCAGACATGACCATTAAATCAAGCACTGAGGCAGCAAAGGTTTTTTCCTTTCTAAAATTAGGCTAGTTGTTAAAAGGCTAGACTACAATCATAAGCAAATCTTGTGAGAAATGAACACTTGCTAATAATAAAGCCAGAGAAATTATACAATACTTGCTGAAAGCTACACTCATACTAGGCAGATAACCCACATATTAACATCGAACCCACAGAAACCTACCCCTTTCCTGCTGCCCCAGCCCCCACCCAAAGACTACAAAAAGAAGTCCTCAAAGATGCACTGTCCTCTACAAATAAACTTAGCCAGAGTGCGACTACCACACAAACTGCAAAACAATGACCTGGAATGTTCCTTCTGAACACAGCCCTAACTTTATAGTGTAAGTTTCAGATTCAGAACATTTGGAAACGAGCTTAATAAAATGCTGAGCATATGTAACAAATCAGCTATCCTAAAAGTCTACAGGTCAGTCAAAACTGTAGCATTTGGAATTTGTCAGATAATGAGTCCTCAAGACGATAAATAGAAGTGACACTTCAAACACCTACATACGCAAATACGACCGAAAAAAACTGGACACACAATATGAGAAAATACCACCAAGACTCTGAAACAGAATCAAAGCTACAAAATTCTAGAAATAAGCCTATTTGTTATGGCCAAAAAGGGTCATAATGGAACAGGCATTCTTCCTTTCTCTGGCTCGTTAAGACTAATACGTTCTCTAAGCGTGCCAAAGCCTAGCTACAAAGACAATTTTAACATATACAAGTTTTTAAAATCCCTTACAGACCAATATAGAGCAAATAAGTGTACACGTTCTTTAAATGTAAATTTATATATAAATTATTTAAATGACCAGGACTTCTACAATTTAGAATGAATTATTTATCCCAAAATACACTTTTTTCCCTTTCCTGAGCAATTCTGAATAATGCACTGGTCTATAACGACAAATGTATGCTTTCAACTCACATTGTTTCTCCAGTCTTGGCTACATGACAAAGAAACTGATCCAGGACAGGACAAACTTCCTTTTTCCCCCTCTTCTCAAAATCTAGATAAAGGAAGAAAAAAAAAGTTATCAGTTTTCTCAAAAGCCCTCTAAAAACAAACTTTCCTCCCAGTCCTTTCCCTTAATAAGAATTAAACAAAAATTTTTTAAAAAGCCTCTCAACCAAATAACCACCTCAACCCTCCAAGTTCTACTTCTAACATATCACCCTCTTTTACAGATAACAAGAATCCTCCTAAAGGGGGCACTCAACTTCACAAACCATTTTTAACGCAGTGCTTCTCGAAGTGTGGTCCGGGGGAACACCAGTATTACATTAAGCCGAGAATCCAGCGAAAATAAAAATCCCCAGGCCCCGACTCCCACCAATTGTTTATCTAAGTCCATAAATCTGCCTTTTTAAGAAACACCAACTACCCCAAGTAGCTGTCCCCAAATGATTCTGTATGTCAAAGAATAATTCTCAAAACGCTGAAATCTCTCTCTTCGAAGTTTGAAAGCCACTGTTCTCAAGCCTGTTGCGTGGAAGGTGTGCAATCAAGTACAGTGAAGGCAACCACCTTGAAATTAGGGCGCGGAAGGATGACTTCAAAAGCCCTGAAAAAGGCATCCTGAGACAACTTAAAAGTTGCGATGCCACCCCCCCCCAATCTCCCGCCCCCACCAACCTTTTACTTTTTCTCCCACCCCAACGCCTGGCGTGCGGGTGGCCTGGCAGAGAAAGGAGGATGCCTGGGAGGGAGGAGTCTGCGATTCCGCGACTCGACCCTCGAACGGGTGGTAGAAACACTGGGGCCCCCGCAAGAGATTCCCCGGCTCCCCTCCCCCAGCCCAGACGCCGGCGGCCGACACAAAGCCAGAGCGGGGCGGGAGGGAGCTGCCCACAGGGCTCCCCGCCCCTGGGGAGGTGGAGGGGGATGGGAGCCCGTGAAGCGCTCTCCCCACGCCGCGCCCGGCCCCAGCCCCGGCCCTCGGAACCATCCGCCCTGAAAGGAGAGACGAGCGAGCCGGAGAAGGTGACGGGGAATGGAGAGGGGGCAGCTACCCCCACCTTTCAGCGCCTCCTGGAGCCTCTCGACGTCCATGGCTTCCCGGAGTCCCTCACAGCCTCCGCCTCCCTCCGCGGGTCTCTCGGGGACCGGAACGCCTCCCCCCACCCCCCCGACGCCCTCCCCCTCCCTCGCACACACTCCGGCACGCAGGCGACCGGGGGGGGGGAACGAAGGGAGCCGGGGGAAGCGTGCGAGAGAGCGAGACCGACAGAGCGAGCACCTCCCCAAGCCGCTACCACCAACCCTCCAACATGGCGCCCAGCACGTCACCGCGCGCACGCTCCCTGCCGCCGTCCTCGCTCCCGCCGCGCGCCCCGGCCCGGAACCCAAGAGCGCGTGCGCGGCGGAGGCGTGACGCTGGGGCCCAGCGCTGCAGTCACTCGCGGCTGCGTCCCGGCGGCTGCCGGATCCACGGCCCCGGCCCAGCCTCCGCGGAGCTGAAGGCTGAACGGTCGGGCGACAGGTTTGCAGGCGGACTCCTAGGCTTTGAACCCCTGCCATTTTTTGCTCTCTGTGTGAACTTAAGCTATTTACTTCGTCTCTCTGAGCCTCATTTTCCCCATCTGTACAGTGAGAGCACTGGTACCGATGCCCTATGCAGTTGCTGTGAGAATTCAGTGTGTACACTTCACGTTCAGAATGCGCCTAAAAAACGTTCAGCGAGGCCAGGCAGGGGGCTCACGTCGGTGAGCCCAACACTTAAGGAGGGAGGCCGAGGCGAGAGGATCGCTTTAGCCCAGAAGAACGAGACCAGCCTGGGCAACAAAGTGAGCCCGCCCCCGCGCCCTTCTCTATATAAAAATAAATACAGGCCAGGCGCGGTGACTCAAGCCTGTAATCACAGCACTTTGGAAGGCTGGGCCGGGCGGAGCACCTGAAGTCAGGCGTTGAAGACCAGCCAGGCCAACATTGGCGAAACCCCGTCTCTACTAAAAATGCAAAATTTAGCGAGCGTGGTCGTGCGTGCCTGTAATCCCAGTTACTCGGGAGGCTGAGGCACGAGAATCGCTTGAACCCAGGAGGCGGAGGTAGAAGTGAGCCAAGACTGCGCCACTGCACTCCAGCCTCGGCGACAAAGCGAGACTGTGTTTCAAAAAATAATAATAAAATTAAAAATACATACATACACTCAGCATTACTAATAATCCTAACAAGATACCTCCCTGCTTAACCCAACGTTCATTCCTCACTGGCCCACCTGTGGCAAGAAGTAATGTGTACAGCAAAGTGATTAAGAGCTCAAGGTTTGGAATCAATATTCAAATCCCAACTCAACTACTTACTCCTTTTGTGGCCCTGAAGTAGTTATCTAAACTCAGGCAGCTTCAGGGTTCTTATTTATAAAATGGGGGTTGTAAAACGGCCAAGAGGATTGAGTGAAATGGCGAATGTGAAACATTTGGCACAGTGCGTGAAACCTGGAACACTCAACGTGGCTGCGGTTTTTATTACCACTGTGATCATTATTACATTACATAATCACCCAGGAAGTAGGAGAGGGTGGAAACCTCAGAAGTCCTCTTCAGCCTTGACATTTACAAATGGGAAAGCTGTGTCATCGAGAGCAAGTCTGGGGAGACAGAACTAGCACCCAGAACCCAAAACATCTGGCTCCCAGCCAGTGCGTGGACATTTTTATACTCTTATCTGTGAGCTTTTAAAAGAAAAGGTACTGCCCGGGCTCCGTGGCTCACACCGGTAATCCCAACACTTCGGGAGTCTGAGGTGGGCAGATCACCTGAGGTCAGGAGTTTGATACCAGCCGGGCCAACATGGCAAAACCCTGTCTCTGCTAAAAATACAAAAAAAAAAAAAAAAAAAAAAAAAAAAAGGCTGGGCGTGGTGGCGGGCACCTGTAATCATAATTACTCGGGAGGCTGAGGCAGGAGACTCCCTTGAACCCGGGAGGCTGAGGTTGCAGTGGGCCAAGATAGCGCCACTGTACTCCAGCTTGGGCACGACAGAGTGAGACTCCGTCTCAAAAAAAAAAAAAGAAAAGAAAAGGTACTGAGTTGTTCCACCTCCTCTTCCAAAAACCCAGCCAGCACAAAGTCATGGAAGGAAGGAGGGGAAGAGAAGGACCGAGGGAGGGAGGGAAAAAGGTTATTGTTTAGTCTAAGAAGATGCAAGTTTGGATACAGCCATTACACTGTTGACCCTCTTAAAAGACAGTGGGTCTCACCCTGATCCTAGGTGGTAGACGTAGGCAAAAGACACACCCAAAATAGGTCTCTCAAGTTGTGCCATCAGAGAACCAGTCCCCTGTGTTTTTAGACCTCATTGTTCAGAGGATCTAGCTCAATTACAAACATCCTTGCAGAGAAAGGGAATAGGGTAGCATTATCAAGCACTTGGCCAGCACTTACCAGGCACCAGGTTTAGTTTATCCAGGTCCCTTGCAGTCTGAAGGGCCTACTGCCTACATGGCAAAGCTTAGCCTCCTCTCCTGTCTGCCACTCTACTATTCAGAAGGGTCTCTTACTGTAAGAGCTGTGCTGTACTGTAGATATTAGCCATGTGTGAATATTGAAATTTAAATTAATTAAAATTAAATAAAATTTAATTTTCTTAAATAAAATCCAATTCTTTTTTTTTTTTTTCTTTTTTGAGACAGAGTCTTGCTCTGTCCCAGGCTGGAGTGCAGTGGCGTGATCTCAACTCACTGCAACCTCTGCCTCCCGGGTTCAAGCAGTTCCCTGCCTCAGCCTCCCGAGTAGTTGAGATTACAGGTGTCTGTCACTACGCTCGGCTAATTTTTGTATTTTTAGTAGAGACCGGGTTTCGCCATATTGTCCAGGCTGGTGTTGAACTCTGGACCTCGTGATCCACCCGCCTCGGCCTCCCAAAGCGCTGGGATTACAGGTGTGAGCCACTGAGCCCAGCCTAAAAATCCAATTCTTCAGTCACAGCAGCCACATTTTGAGGACATTAAGTGCTCGATAGCTACATGTGGCTAGTGGCTCCTGTATTGAACAGTTCAGATAAAGAAAATTTCATTATTGCAAAAAATTCTATTGGAACTTTCTGTTGGAGAACACATTATACTAATTTCTAACACTTTGCTTTGTCCCTTTCGTTGCTGTCAGCTTAACTGAATTTCTTATGGTTTTTCAGATCTCACCTGGTCTTCAGATAATCAAGGCCTGTGCCCCTCTGGTTAGCTCCTCCTCTCCAATTCACTTTGCTATGTTCCTCTGCAAATTCAGATCTCTACTTAAACACCACTTCCTCTGGTATACTTTCCACAATACCCTTAGGCTGTCACTGCTGTGTACACTTTGTCGCCCGTCATAGACCGTATCCAGTGTCTGGAAGTCAAGATTGCAAGGGGAGAAGAGGCAAAAGATGAGGCTGAAGAAATAACTTCGTTTGGTTCATTCCTTCCTTCTTCCTTGAATTCTTCTCCAGCAGGCCTGTATCGCAGTATCTGCAATTACTAGAGCCTTCTACTGGCCGGGCATGGTGGCTCACACCTGTATTCTCGGCACCCTGGGAGGCCAAGGCTGGAGGATCACTTGAGACCAGCCTAGCAACATGTCTCCACAAAAAATAAAAAATTACCAGGCGTAGTGGCGCACACCTGTAGTCCTAGCTACTCGGGAGGCTAGGAGGACTACTTGAGCCCAGGAATTTAAGGCTGCAGTGAGCCGGCATCATGCCACTGTAATCCATCCTGGGCCACAAATAGAGTGAGACCCTGACTCAAAAAATAAAAGTAAAAAGCCTCCTACTGATGCCAATTTCCTGGGAAGAAAACAGAGTACAAATGTGGCAGCCAGCCCCCACAATTACCCCTCATGATCTCACGTGCTGAGATTCATGCCCTAGTATAATCTGGCACATTGAATCAGAGCTGTCTGTGTGAAGGCCCTAGGGCTTCTGCCTTGGCCTCTTGAATTGGTGAATGGGGCCTCAATGGGGGAAGCCAGCTGCCATGTCATGAGAACATTAGACAGTCTTGTGGAAAGGCCCCACAGAGAGAAAAACTGTCCTTGGAAGTGGATCCTCCAACCTCAGGAATTCCTTCAGGTAACTGCAGCCCCAACTGACATCTGGATCACAACCTTAGCAGACATCCTACACTAGGGCGGCCCATCTAAGTCACTTCCCAGCACCTGATCCACAGAAATTGTAAAAGGTGACAATGTCTATAACTGTTCTAAGCCTCTAAATTTTAGAAACTAATGCAACAAATAAGAAATTTAATAGTAACAGCTAATATTTATTAAATACTTTTATGTGTCTGGCATTCTCCTAAGCAGTTTACAAAACTATCAAAAAATTTCTCCTAAGCAGTTTACAAAAGTATTTAATTGAATCCTCACAAAATCCTATGAGGATCCTCTTCACTTAACAGAAAAGAAAACAGAAATATAGAGGCCCGGCGCCTTGGCTGACGCCTGTAATTCCAGCACTTTGAAAGGCCGAGGCGGGTGGATCACCTGAGGGCAGAAGCTGGAGACCAGCCTGGCCAACATGATGAAACCCCATCTCCACTAAAAATACAAAAATTAGCTGGGCATGGTGGCGGTCACCTGTAATCCCAGCTACTCGGGAGGCTGAGGCAGGAAAATTGCTTGAACCCAAAAGGGAGAGCTTGCAGTGAGCTGAGATCGTGCCACTGCACTCCAGCCTGGGTGACAAGAGCAAAACTCCATCTTGAAAGAAAGAAAAAAAAAGAACCTAGACTGGCTTCAAAGCCCCCAAACACTTTCTTGTCCTCAAGAAGTTTGCAAAATACTAGCAAAGATAAGATGTAAGTGTAGGCCCTCATGCAAGGTAGAAAGCAAGGCCGTATATCAGATATTCAGAGGCCTGCAAAATTTCTTCCAGGAAGAGATGGAAGCTGCTTTTTAGAAAAGGTCTCGCTTAAAGACCAGAAAAGATTTGTACTGAGACAGAAGAGCCCTCCAGGCAGAGGGAATGGTATTAACAAGGTAAACAGTCTGTGAGGCTCTCCAAGGTGCTGGGGAAAAGTTCCCCCACGGAGC